ATGTCCTACTAACATGCTTTCATCCCGATACGATGGTCTCCTGGTCAACAGCAGCCGATGTGCACTTTTTTGCGTCATCGAGCAGCGATCTTGTGTCCAGATGTTCTCCAAACCTTCAGATCATGTTCAGGTTGCGCCCGCGGAGGACTTCAACGGTTTTCGCCGATGATCATACACTGCAGGTGTAAGCCTCCAACTTTCTGCGGGGTGCGCATACACCGCTCCTATCGTTTCAGAACTCATGCCTTCAAATTCAACTTCGGCAGCAGTTCAACAGCTCCTCAACTACAGAGCGTGTTGAGAGGATGAAGTGCCGGAGCAGGACTCAGGCAGGTCTTCCCTTCACTGGCACTTGGCTGGCTGAACAGTGATGCGGCGCTTGACATGACCTCTGCCACAAGGTGATGAAGAAGGCCCAGCAGTGCCATTGCCGCGGCGGAAGGTGTGGAGCAACGCGGGAGTTGTGATGGAGAGAACATGATCCCGCACTTTGCATAAGAATCATAGAGCTTTTTCCTGCGGCCCCTCGCAAGGTGCAAGTGATCCCAATCATCCTCAAGACGAAGAGCCACGGCCTGAGGGCGGCTGCTCTGGTCATATCCAGCTGGACCTCTCTCGAAGGGGGCAGCTCATGGACACCAGCAAAGCTCCCAGCAAAGGTGTAAGCCAGTTCGACATGCTCATGGAGGAGATCGATAGAGTGTGTGCCTCGGCAGGGGTCGTGGAGAGGCCCCTAAGTCGGAAAGATCCAAGTACAACTCCAACCTCCTGGTGGGAGTGAGGGGCTGAGGGCGATGGGTTTTGGCCGTTGCTCTTGCCGGTCTCGATGTCGGATCGGGTTTGGGATGACGTGGGTTTGCGGGGTCGTTTGCGGCTAGATTTCCTTGGCACGCCCGGCACGCGCCAAGGTTCAGGAGAGCTATGGAGTTCGCATCGTGATCGTCCACGGAGGCAGGGTTCCGCTCCGTTTGTTTGGCGGCGCTTCCGCTCGGCTCGCGGTTGGAGGCCTTGGCCCCGTCATCCCCAAGGCCGGGCCGGGTCGGGGGGGGGGGGGGGCTCCACAGCGGAGCTTCCCCGTTCCCTTGCTGCCACAGGACATCGTGCACGCAGAAGTCGAGAAACGCCACAACCTTATCCCGCGTAGCCGGAGTACAGATTGCAGGGATGCCTCGATGAGTTTCTTTTATGCCACGCGTGATCATTTGCATGATGCATCTGCTCAGGCATGGCTTTGGCTTCCGAGTGCAAGCCGAGTATCAACATGCTGGCAGTCTCGGGTCAAAACCTAGATCCTAGTCCTAGACTCGTCCTAGACCCTTCCTGTGACTTGGTGGGGTTTCGCTGATCGATGCCGACCTGCGCTCCTTCTGGTACCCCGAGCGCGGACGAGTCCTCCAGCAGCACTTGCCATTACCTTGTTCCACGTTCTGCTCGCAAAGATGCTGTGATATGGTTCAAGCATACTTAATTCTAATGCTACGCAGCCCGCCTCGGCCGCCGGCTGCAGTAGGGCCAGCAGGGGCGCAGAGCAGGGGCCAAACTGCGAAGGGCCTCTTAAAGCAGGTGTAATTTAGTTGCAGGGTCAGGGCTACTTGGAGAAGTGTGGCAAGTGTAGAGCAAACACATGCAGCAAAACCCACAGTGGAGCCGGGGGCAGGCCGAAAGAGAAGAAAAGGTGAAAGAAAACGAGCAGGCAGAAGACAAAAAACAAGGGGAAGCCGGAGGAGGAAGGGGGGGCCGGAGGAGGAAGGGTGGGGGGGAGGGGGGGGGGAAGAAAACAAGCCAAAAAGAAGTGCACGAAAAAGTCGCAATGGAAAAAACACGCGAGGGCAGGACAAGACGGAAGGGTGGGAAAAGGGGCCGGGGGAAGGCCCGGGGGGAGGGGGGCCGGGGAAGGGAGGGAGGGTCGGGGGGGGGGAAGCTTCAACGAGGAAGCAGGAGAGCCAAAGCACGCGAACGAAACATAAGAAGAAAAGGCAGTGGAGCCGGCCCGGGGGGGGCAGGCCGAAAAAGCCAAAGCACGCGAACGAAACATAAGAAGAAAAGGCAGTGGAGCCGGCCCGGGGGGCGGCAGGCCGGAAGAGAAGAAAAGAGGAAAGAAAACGAGCAGGATAAAACAAAAAACGATGGGAAGCCGAGGAGGAGGAAGGGGGGGCCGGAGGAGGAAGGGGGGGCCAGCAAGGGGGGGGAGGAAGGGGGGGGGCAGGACAAGACGGGGGGGGGCCCGGGAGGGGGAGGGAAGAGGGGCTGAGGGGGGGCGGGGGCGAGGGGCAACAAAACAGCAAAACGACGGAGCTTCAAGGAGGAAGCAGGAGAGCCAAAGCACGCAAACGAAACATAAGAAGAAAAGGCAGTGGAGCCGGCTCGGTGGGGGGCAGGCCGAAAGAGGAGAAAAGGTCGAAAAAACACGCGAGGGCAGGACAACACGGAAGGGTGGACTGGCCGGCCGGAGGAGGAAGGGGGGGCCCAGCAAGAGGGGGAGGGGGGGAAGGAAGGAAAACAAGCCAAAAGAAGTGCAGAACTGAAGTGCAGACAAGACGGAAGGGTGGTAAAAGGGGCCGGAACAAAACAGCAAAACGAGAGCTCCAACGAGGAAGCAGGAAAGAAGCACGCAAACGAAACATAAGAAGAAAAGACAGTGGAGCCGGGGGCAGGCCGAAAGAGAAGAAAAGGTGAAAGAAAACGAGCAGGCAATCGAAAAAAAGACAAGACGGAAGGGTGGGGAACCAAAAAAGGAAAACGAGCGAGGAGGGCAGAGGGGAGGACGGGCCGGAGGGGGAGAAGAGAAAGGGAGGGGGGAGGGGGGGGTGGGGGGGCGGGCAGGGGGGCAAAAAAGAGGGGGCAAGGGCGGGGCAGGGGGGCAGGAAGGGGGGGCCCGGGAGGGGGGGGCAGGAGGGGGGGAGGCAAATTCGGCAGCAAAAAAGGACGGAAGCCGGGCAAGGGGGTCGAAAACAGTCGCTAAAAACGGGTGGAAGTTTGCGTTTGGGTTGCAGGGAGAAGGATTAGGTAGAGGGTTGGTAGTATTAACCATCAAGACGCCAGAGGCCTTTGGCCTCGGCGGATATTAACCGAGAGGGTGCCATCGGATGCCTATAAGCCCCGGGACCAGGTTGGGCATGCTGGATGTCTGCTTTCCGGCGAGATCTTCGCTGGATGTAGAGGCCGTGGCCGTGGATGCGGGATGTGTCAGCGAAGCAGCAGGCATATTTCGTGAGAACGGCTTCGTGATTCTGCGTCGTGCTCTGTGTGAAAATGGCGTGAGAGAAGTCTACGAGGCCTGCACGCGACTGCATGAGAATGTGCGCCGAATCGACCCTCAAGGCCTGGGCAACCGGAACCCGCAGCGATACTCGATGGGGAGTTTGACTCCTTCCAGAAGCTGCATGCATTTGTCATCGTTTCTGCACCTCCTGAGACCCTCTGTCCTGGCCCTGATGGATCGGATTTTTCATGGTCGCTTCCTGGTTTCTGGCGTGGGTGGCGACTACTGCACTGGCTTCACATGGGAATTTCAGAAGCTTCACTCTGACATGCGCCCAGCACGACCCTTGAAAGGCAAAGGCAGCAGCAAAAGCAAAATGAAGAATGCCCCGGTGCACTGCAAGGACTTCCCCCCGCTGGTTTGCGTGAACTATGCCGTGCAAGATCTCACTGCGTACAATGGCCCCATGAGGATTGTGTCCTGGAAGGAGATGGCCGCCTACTGCGAGGACCCCGTCAAAATCCAAACCCTCAGACTCAACACAACCCTCCACCATCCCCTCTCTCTTGGAGGACAAACCCTGGATGGATGCTCCGAGTCTGGTAGATGAGCTGGAGAAGCGTAGCGACTGGCTGCGTTCGAAGGTGTTTCCTTTGCAGGCAGGTCTTTGATGCTGGCCCTCTTCCCTTGCAGTATCGAGTCGTCCTGCTCGCATCTTCAAGCACAAAGCAGAGTTGCAAAGACCTATTCGAGCTTCGCGTCTGTGCCCTTTGGGTTCCCTAAGCCTTCCAGGCCGGAGACTGCCTGGTCCGAGGCTCGGCCGCAGCGGAGCGCTAGAATCGCCAGAATGATCCAGCTGGTCCCAACGGAATCCTTGGTGACTCAGCGACTCGTCGCTGTCTGAAGCCAAGGAGATGTCCGCGTCTGGCACGGTGGCTGCCCAAACTTGAGCGGAGAAGCTCGCTATCTGCCGGCGCTCGAAGTCATCTCCCGTGAGTACTTCACCTTCCTACAGACTGGTACGAAGGAGCCGGCCCTACCTTTGAGGCTGTACAAGACCTTACCAGAGGCGATTGCTATTCTCTGCAACCATGCTGCTAGCAGCGGCAACAGCCCAGTGGATGCACATGTGGATGACTACCAGTGGCTCAAGACCGATTTGCAAAAGCCAGCTCGGGACGACTACTACTTGCCTCTCTATGAGTTGATGCGGGAAGACCACCAACCTATCCTAGAGCCTTGTCTGATGCATTTAGGTGTAGCTTTCGGACAGATAGAGCCCAATCGGCCCGAAAGCAACTGTCAATCCTTCCTTACACCCGCATTGTTCGCGCGAAGCAGAGCGAAGAAAACCTAAAGGTTCGCACACCCACCCACCCCCCGCACAAGCACACTCCCCACCACACTCACACTCACTTACCCACCACCCACCCAATCGCCAAGCGCTGCTGCCTTCGTCATCTCTTGCTCAGAAGACTGCCAGTCACAAAGCGCCTCTACCCGCTGAATCTCACAGAATAGGGTGGTTTTCCATGTTTGTCGAGCTTTGGCCATGTGGCCGCCCCATCCCCTGGATTGGATGTGATTGGCCAGTTGTTCGATTCGACTCAAACAACTGCTGGAGTAGAGTTGACGAAGAATTGGCTTGCTAGTGTCCAGGAGGTTCATCTTCTTGCTGCACTCATCGAAAGGATTTGCCACATTCACTTTGTTACGAGCAAGAACTTGACCCGTACTGTGCTCATGTAGGATGAGGCAAGTAGCGCAGACACGGCAGGTCATGTATCAGCAGTCGGTAAGGAAGTGCTGCAGAAGTTAAACGGGCGGCGCTGCTTGGAGTCTGTGCCCAGCCTCGTCGCACAGATGCACGGGGGTGCACGAGATCTTCTGTACACTCTGGCTGCTAGAGATGCGAGGCAGGGCCACAGAAGAAATGATGTTGACGGAGAGTTTAAGCTCGCATCTTCTCATGCTAGGTGTGTGGTAAAGTTATCACTTCTCCCGCATGTGCCAGACTATATGAGATACTGCTGGAGCTGATGAAGCCAATGGAGCAATCCCTCCTGCAGTCAAAGCCTCTTTTCTCAAGCTGGCCAAAGAAAGTGCTGTTTCGGCTTTCGTTCACTGTGGCGGTTTTTGCGCACTGCACGGTTCAGTCAGTTTTCAGGATTTCCAAGTCGAGGCGCCGCTGGCAAAAGTGACCGGCACGGTCGACATCTACATGGAAGTGCCAGGTCCAACGCCGTCCCATGGCCTCAAGGGCAAGTTCGACGGCTTCGAGCTGCGCTGCACTCCAAGGTCTCTGCACATCCCACGGTCCCCATGCATGGCGCAAGGGAAAACTCGACGCTGGTGCCGGAAGCTGTCTCAGCCTCTCTCTTCCTGAATGCAGACGAAACCCGCATCGAAGACCTTTGATGGCGCTCCGTGGGATTGGCATCTTCAGCCTGCGATGCTGGCGAGTATTCGTGCAAGCAAACGGTGTCACAAGTGGCCCTTGCTCTGCATGTTGGCCTGCAACTTCCTGCATCGTGTTCCTGCATTGTGTTTCCAATTGGGTTTGCTTGCCACTGCAGGCTACGGCTACTGCCCCATCTACGCCTTTCAGGCAGAATCCGATCCGTAGCGCAACGGCATACTTGAGATTTGAGTGCGTGGGATATGTAGATACGGCACAACTCAGATCCAGGCCTCGACTGACTCTCCAGAGTCTCCACTCTGACGCCAGGTTGGTGCCAACCCATCTGCAGTTGGACAGGCACATGCTGTCGGGCCCTTGGCAGCCGCTTCAAGAGACATCGTTGCATTGCCTTGTTGCGAAGCCGCCGCTCGACGAGATGCCTCCCCGGCACTTCCTGCTATCCTCCGCGTCTGCAGGAGCAGATTGAGATTCGCCGCTTTGACGTCTTCACAGAGCTCATCGATGACGTGCGCCACTTGGGACCTGGTGGGCTTGTGTTCAGCATCAGCACGCCACCTCAAGCAGGGCGTCAGCGAGTTTCTGGTATTGAACGGCATCGAAGCTCGCTTGATGCTTTGAGGAAGCATGCTTTCCTTGTCAGGTTGTGTGCGACCTGATATGAGCATCTGTTGGAAAAGTTATCTCGTAGGCACTAGACATCAAGATCATCAGTGGCAGGACACTCGCATTGCCTCTGACTCCGCTGTCTTGCTTGAGCATGGGGGACTTCTAACATCCTTTAACTTTTAACTCTTATTGAGACTGAGGAGAGAGCACAGTGAGCATGTTGTCCGCTGCCAGTTGACGGAGCGCTGTGAGCGCATTCGCGAGAAGCGCAGCCTCGAACACTACGCCAAGGCTTTGCTTTGAGGTTCGGGGCAGAGTTGCACGCATCCTACTGCTAGCTCAGTGCTCCCTGGGTGTCATCGCAGTTGACAGAGTCTGGCTTGCAAGACATGTTGTGCCTGTCCCGAACAAAACCAGCGAAGCAGCTGTTCATCTCACGTTTGGGCATTCGGCTCAGTGTTCTTTTCCTTCGTGTGAACAGCGGTGGTGGTGCACCAAGAGAGGCCTGACTCGGAATGTGCCGCGGGCGAAGTTGCCCATGATTGTTTGTGGGCGTGTGCGCTTGTGCCTGTCCACGGCAATCATTTAGCAGGCACACACCATGCTCCGCATTTGGCTTCTGCCGCTCGCCGCCATTGCGGCAGAGGTTCCAAGAAGGGTCTCCTCTGCGGTGCAGGCTCCCTCCCCTCCTCTGTCCTTGGTTTGGGCTCGGCAGGTCGGTCCGGTGGCCCCGCCGCCGCCGCTGGAGGCCGGCTGTGTTGTGCACAACGGGTGGTGACTTTAGGCTACAGGGAGCAGATTGCACCGCAGACTTTTAACCCAGACCTGAGCCGTGGAGCCGTGGATGCTGATACGACGATACGACATGTTTGCACCAATTTGGACTGGTCTGGCAGGCGAGTCCTTTCCAGGACCGACGGCCTCTACGGTTTTGCGATCTGGTCGTCTGTCGAGTCTGAGCTTGGCGTCCACTGGTTGGGCTTGAATCTTGCCACGGTGCTGCTACCTATTTGGCATCAGGCTGGAGCTGAGCTCTGATCCAATCATGCGATTGAGTGAGTGAGTATATGAGTGTATGAAATGAAATGGTATGATGTATCATATGTGTGTTTGTCTGAGCATAAGTTTTGCAGATTTTGCATAGCAAAGAGGGAAGTGTACGAACCAATTGAAATAATCCAAAGCATGCCAGCCCAATTCTGACAATCGCCGTTGGTGACAGGACACGGTGGTGGCTCCGCTTCACTCGGCAGCTGACCAGTTGGAGCATGTAGCCGGGAGCCTAGTTTGAGGAAGACTTTTCGTCAGACAAAGAGCTGAGTTCACAGACCTTTCGTCATACATGCTGCCACTCGCAGAGAAACCATCTTTAACCTCGTGTTGTGAAGTGCGCCAGGGGGCAGAACTTTTGAAGCGCCTTGCGCTGACAGTGGCTCGGAGGACAAGCCTGACGATAGCGCGTGGCTAAAGTTGTGCTGTGATGCGGTCATGAGTGTATCGCCATCGCTGAAGCTAGCGACATTGATTTTCGTGACAGACTTTAGCACGATCTTGTTAAGCTACGTCTTGGTGCTGCAGTTTCTCGGCATTGCTTTTACCGGATTGGTGCCTTACTGTGGGTATCCGCGCGAAGCGCCCGAAGCAGAGCCAAGGTATCCGACAAGACCAGTGAGGACGAGACCTTGCCCCTTGCACGCAGACGAAGCTTGTCGGTTGGCAGCGCGCGATCATCTCGGTCCGTAGCAGTCTCGAAAGCAGAGGGAAGGAGCAGGTTTGCACTTGCAAACACGGAGCTGCCGAGCTTGTGTCGCTTCGCTTGACAAGCTCCACTTTGTTTGATAGCCCCAACAGCCCGCTTTTAGAAACTTGGCTGCGGTGTCAGGAGGCCCGTCCCGCCTCCACCTCCTCGAGGGTTCTTCGCAACCCCTCAGTCAGAAACCTTGGTACATCTTGGTATGCACCAGTCAGACCTTCAAGCGGGAAGGCCTTTTCGGACAGGGCCGGACTTGGCTGCACCGCAACAGGGTTTACGACGCAGCTAATCTCGAGAACAAAGGTTTTCTGTAGCACGACAACTTAGTAATGCTTAGTAACTTCATTCAAGATGGCTTATAAATGCCTCCTGAAGTGGGCGCTGCCGGCCCCGGCGGAGCCACTGCGCTTCCGCCGTGATTTTCCACTACGGCCGCTTTCGGACTCGCTATACCCGCGGACCATTCACATGTGAACCAGCTCCAGCGGTGCGGCACAGAGACGTGGTACCTCGAACGTGCGTCGTAGTAAGGTTGGAAATGGGCACTGAACTTCGGAAGGCACTGGGCGAGGTGGGGCATGCAGAAGTTGTGCTGTGAAGCTGTAAGCCCCAACAGCTCTAGGCATGACGCATGACGCGTAAACCCACCCGAAAGCCCTGTTCCCTGAATCGATGACTCCCAGCTCGCATGTACAGACGCAGGTGGTGCCGTTGTTGCTGCAAGCTCGGGCATCTTGGCAGACTTGAGCTGGCCATGGCCGCAAACTGGGATGAACACAAGAAAAATTTGCAGGATGCCATAGCCCGACACTGAAACCCTCACCCCAGCCCACGATATTAAAGTTAATCGCGTAGTACCTCGCTCTGCTCGCTCTGCTGTTCAGTCCTGGATCTCTCCACCCTTTGAGGTATGCGCCATGCGCCTTAAGGTTAGGCATGCCGCTGCTGTAGTTCATGTTTTCCTGCTGCCCGACTGGGGAAGGGCACTCACGAGTTCCGACAGTGTCGGCTCCCTCCCTCCCTCCCTCCCTCCCTCCCTCCCTCCCTCCCTCTCTCTCTCTCTCTCTCTCTCTCTCTCTCTCTCTCTCGCTCCCTCCCTCTGTGACGGCTTCCCGAGGACAACAGCTCGGCTGTTGACATTGATACGCGGCCTTCCAATGCCTCGAAGGCACGGTCCGAGGATCTAGATGCCGAAGCCATGCTGGGACAGGGGCTGAAGACTTTCATGACTTGTGTGCTTGATGCTGAAGTACGCAACAGATCGAGCAAAATTTCAAACATCCATAACTTCAACCATTTCTGCATTAACCGTGCGAAGGGCGATGTGAACACTGCGAGGCCACTCTCGCCCAAAACGTCTTGCTGCACCTCCAGGTCCATGGAAATAGCCCAACAGCCAGCAAAGCTCGGATTCGTTGCAGCCGTGCATTCTCGTTGCGACTGTGACCTGAGCTCAGAAATACTCGACTTGGGCTTGGCCTGTGCTGGACGGCTACTCGAAGTGCCTCTCCTTGTTAGTAGTCTAGCTTCTAGGTGAAGCTGTCACAAACAGTCAGCGACTAGAAGCCCAGGGTGGCCTTTACTGATGGCGAGCCCATGACAGCCGACTTGAACATGAGCTGCTTTCTTGCAGCTACTGTCATGTCCAACTCATATCCTTGTTGCCACGTGGCGTGTGGCATTTCAGTGACAGCGGAAATCGCTGCTGCAGAGCATGCGGCTTCATAGAACGCGGTTGGGGAAGTACCTTTGCCTACTGCCTTCCTGAAGCCGAGGAATGCAACGCGGCACTAATGGCTCCTTGCAGTACTTGAGCTCCGAGCCCCTGCGGCAAAGAAGTCATGGAACAGCGGGCAGCCAGAATGCTTGGAACCAGCATATCATGGGGCACGGCACGCCCAAAGCAACATGCCAAAGTACCTGCATGAAAGTAACAGGCAGCACACAATCAACGTGATGCTTTGCTAGGTCCTTCAGCATGCTAGCCACCTAAGCCCCAGACGGAATAGCCAAAAAATGGCCACGCCTAGTCAGCAGTCCGCTGTTCGATAATAGTGCGATCCGCCGGTGTCCCGCAGCTTTGGCTTGGAAGAGGATTTGAAGATGTGAGGGTGGAGGGTGTCGGGTTCCCAATCCTCGTGCGGGAGGATGACTGTAAGTCCCGCGCCGTAGAGCACTTCTAAACTTTTTGAGAGGTGCCATGGCATGGCTTGGATGCCGGGCTGCCGACAGCCGTGGCAACAGGGCCACCTCCTGGGGTATCCGGTGTAAGCTGGAGATAGCTGCGAAGCGGGGAAAGGACGAGCCTTCGAGGCCAACTTCCTGGCCTTCACTTTGCAGAGAGTGGTACTAATGCGCTTTTGTGTTGTCCCAGTCCCGACGCCCTGACGGCCCTATGTGCCGTAATTAGCCCCACGTGGACGTCTTCAGCATCCTGGAGAAAGACAGGTGCTTATGGTTGGATGACTGGGTGGCTGACGAGCTGACGAGGACAAGGAGCGAAGGAGCGAGTGTCAGGCCACCCAAAGCTCCTTGGTGATGTGCCGGAGCTTGGGTCATTCCCCCAGGCCCCGCTGCAAGTATTGGTGGGTTGGCCGACGCCCCCGGTGCCGGAGATGGGTGTGGTGCTGGGGCAAAGCCCAGGGACAAGGAAAAGGAGGAGAATGAGAAGGCCCGAGAGGGTCAAGTGGAAGGGCTTTCCCCACTCGAGTCGGGCATTTCGTAGCCTGGCCGTCCTACAATGCGGGGATCCTTGTTTAATTATTCCGGGGGCCCTCTGAGTTCTGGAATAATATTCTGGGAATGATTTCCTGAAGCTGTCTAGTGCTGGGGGGGGGGTTGAACATGGAAGCTTCCCTGGGATCGGGAGGGGGGGGGGGGCCAAGGTATGCGTCCACTGTCCACGAACCATGTTCACGTGCGCACCTGCCTCCATGCCACCGGCCGCAGAAAACAGGAATCCATAGGAATCCCAGGATGCAAGGGATATTTTTTTCTGTCGGGCACATCAACACAGCTGCAGGTGCAGAGAGAGAGAGAGAGAGAGAGAGAGAGAGAGAGAGAAAAAGTGACAGAGCGAGACAGTTACCGACGCCAACACAGCATAGCTGTTGCGCAACATATCTCAACGGTGTGGTCCGCGCTTTGGGTGTCGCCTCTAGTCTTTGTGCTTCCCATACAATGCGGGGTGCGCATTGAGAGCAGGGGAGGGGGCAGCACCCCTTTTTCTTACCCAGGTAAAAAAAGGTGATATAAAGAGTGAGACAGAGCGCGAGACAGGCACAGAGCCCCTCAACCCATAAACCCTAAACCCTGAATGCGGAAACCCTGAACCCAGAGCTTGAGCCCGGAAATCCAGAAACCCCAACCCCTGAACCCAGAAGCCCAGAAACAACCAGAAACTTTAAACCCAGAAGCCATGGACCCAGAATCCCCAGAGACCCTATACCCCGAAATGATTTTCCCAGGCCAGTAGGCAACAAGACTCTATGCTAGGGTTTACCCCTGCGCCCATAAATCCTGCACCCCCGCAGCCCTAAACCCAGAAACCCCGAATGCAAAAACACTGAACTCAGAAACCCCGAAACCCCAAACACTTGAATGGAAAAACCCGAAGCCCGAAAACGCAGAAACCCCTCTCGCTCTTTCTCTGTCTTCATATCACCTGCGTAAGAAGAAGGGGTGCAGCCCCCTCCCCTGCGCACAGAGGAATAAAGGTGACACCCAAGGCGCAAACCAGACCATGTTCAGATATGTTGCGCGACAGCTATGTTGGAGTCCGTGATTTTCTCTCGCTCCCTCTCTCCGCATTTGCAGTGGTATGTATGCAAACTAAGACTGTACTCTTCCATGCGCATGGGATTTCTCATGGATTCCTGTTGTCTGAAGCCCTTGGCGACGAGACCCGCGCGCACGTTGACAGGGCTCGCTACTGCAAACCTTTCCTCCCCCCCTGCATCTGCACAGCGGGCGCCTGGAATAAAAAAGAGTGTGACTTTGTGAACTCGACCATGTACGGGAATAACTTTGCATGTTCCGAAGGTTCTTAGCCGGCCGGTTTTTTTATTCCGGGAACTCGCCAACATGTGGAATAATTTCCGGCCCGTAATCAAAACCTATGCTTAAATTATTCAAGTAGGGGGGGGGTTGGGGGACCCACTAACGCACCCCGCATGTCCTACAGATGACCGGGGCCTTATTTCTTTTCATTTAACAGTCTATGGATGGAATGCTGGTGGATGGAATAGCGCCGACTTGACTGGGGCTTCGAAAGAGGGATGCAAAATAGTGCTTTCACCAGACGCCGTGGTAGCCTTACGGGAGCTGCCGCGATGCGACAACGGTTGGACGTCGCAAAAGTTGGGTGCATGGAGCCTGTGGGGTACAGAAGGCGAGATCTGTGGAGAGGTACGGGGATCGCCTAAAAGGCGGACTGGTGGTCTGTGATACTGAGGGTGCCAGCAGGGAAGGGAAGCTAGTTTCTTCTCGAACACGTACACCATGGATTGCAGGTTTGGTTGAGAAGTGCTCACTTTTGCTGCTTCTGGTCCTCACTCGCCTTCCCTTTGAAAACCATGCGGTCGGAGTTGCACCCCAGGAGCCGCAGCTGCTCCTCAGGAGTGACCCTCCTTGATGCCCGAGCTGCTGTTGACCTAGTCAGCAGCCCCCTGTTCGATACTGCGATCCCCCCAGCTTTGGCTTGGCCCACTTTCCACCCCTTCGTTGCCGTGCTTCTGTATCACGGGAGGGATACCCGCAGGCTGTCAAGGGTATTGACCCGTCGCGCAGGCCTGGAAGGCTGTGGCTTGAGCCACAACTGGCTTTTCTTTGCGGGTTCCCGAGGGGTGTGGCGGCCGCTCTTTACCACCTTCTCTGGGCAGTTCGCTTTTGGATCGGTCGGCCGCGCACCTTGTTTAATTTGTCTGCATCTGCTCCCTAGCGGCCCTAGCGCAGCTCGTGATAAAAGCAAGTGGTTAAGGCGGTTAAGGATAAGCACTCAGGCTGCTTTCGCATGTTTTGTTTGTGGGGAAGGTTCAAGGCATCCGGCGACTTCCGGTGGTGGTATAGGAAGAAGGCTCTCGAAGATTCCAACCGAGGTGTTGACCTTCGCCTGGGCAGCCGCGGAGTACCAGCCACTTGTTTCAATTACGGCACGTTTGTGCCTGCACGCCGCCACGCCGGACCACTGCCAGAGATCACCTCGCGATGCACATGCAGCGCTTGAATTCGGACATGGACTGAAGAAGCGTTTGTGAACAGGAGAGTAAGCGTTGCGCGCTTGTCATTCCTGGCAGCTCCTCCGCCTGGTGACGAGGTTCCCAGTAATCGAGGACCTCATGGCAAGGACAGCTGCCCGACCAACATTGCGTTTCGGCAGGCATGTTTGAAGAAACTCTTTTTTGCTGCGAGTGGTCACCAGTGACCTAGCGGGTTCGTGAATGCCTCCAATGTGTATTGTTTGTGTCTGGTTCTATGTGTGAAGTATCTCTGTCCGCGCGGGTATGTGGGGTGGTTAAGCAGGTCCAGTTGCCTCTTGAAGCGCGTTCCGCGATAAGCATGCCTTTCTGACCAGTGGCAAGCGCTCTTTGACTGTCCGGTCTTTCAGACATCACACGCCACCACATGCGCATGGTTGTCGGATGAAGGTGTGTCCCGCCAAGAAAAGGATGCTAGTTCGCTTGGGCAGTTTGGGTCGATGCCAAGAGAAGACAGGAAGTGGCCCGAACTCCGGCCTTGCCATTGAAAGTAGCTGGAGCACTCCTTGCGCACCCTCGGTCGTGGAGTCAGAGTGCAAGAGCCACAACAAGTACCTCCTTCAGTCTTCAATTTGACCCTTTGGCCCGCCCTGCCTGGAGAGATGAAGTTCCAGATGCAGCAGACATTGCATTCCAATCCATCGCGTAGGAATGACAGCAGCGGTGAGGTGGTCGTGGCAGCCTCAAGCTATGCCCTCTGTGTCAGGGCTTCTCATTGCTTGCCGATGCCGAGGCCAAGGCGGGTTGCTCCGCCAACTACGCGCAGTTGCTTGGGGACATCACGAAGGCTTCTTGGCAGATGCAGCATGTGCTTCCTCCGAAGTGCTCCCTGTGACTTGTCTGTGTTTCTGGTACCACGAGCGGTCTTCGATTCTGCCAGGTCTTTTCCGATCTCTCAAACTCCAAGATCTATTGCTTCGAGTCGTGGCACAGCGGCATGTACTAGGGTCCAGGTCGTCCCTGTAATTCGGTAGAGGAGCCGTCAGGGGCAAGCGCCACCGTAAATCATCGACTCCATTCTTGCGGTGGAGCATCCGATCGGGGAGCCTTGCTCAGAGAGATGCAGCCTTCTGGAATGACTACGGTCTCGAGTTTGCTTCATACCCAGAAAAATAAACCAGATCGAGCAACTCTGTCAGCATCCTGCGGATGATGTGACAGTGGAAGCAATCTGTGCATAGATATTCTGGTAGGCGCACATTGTATCAAAGCAGGCCTTCGTTGCTTGATTGTCACAGTGTCGCGTACTCCGTTGCCGTTGTCAGGGATTTTATGTTGCTTTCATTCCTTCCGTCACAGTATGCTGTCGGCAAGACACGGTTACGCTGAGAGCCTCGAGATGTGATTTTCTTGCTAATTTACTGTGACCTGAGGCTCACCAACAAGACCGCCCAGCGCGAGTGCGCGCAGAATAGCATCAAGTCACTCGAGAAGGTGTCTTTGCAAATGAGCATGATTTTCGCTCTTCATCTTGAGTTGATGTTTTGGGTCCGCCAGTGCATCACCAAGCCAGTGGAGTTGGGGGAACAGGAGTTCAAAATTGTAAAAATAGCCCTTGCGGCCCATAAGCTGCGATGCAAACTGGCAGTGCCCGGACCTTGGTTTGGATAGAGGGATAGAATGATAAAATGCTTCAGGCGTCGTGAATCTCGAAGGTTGCAGAAGCACGTTCACGCGACCTGACTCTATCTCCAGACCTTAAAGTCTACTGCATTGACATTCTCAAGACCCTATTTGGTGCAATCGCCAGAGGTAACAGCAGCCATCGCAGAGGCAGATGGGCCATCCGAGGGTGTATTTCTGAAACGTGTGGGGGCTTGGCATGTTGCCGTTGCACCGGAGCCCGGCAGGACACCTGTTGAGACAAACAGATCTCCGCATCTTTCATCTTTGAGAAGCCCATATCATAACATCTTATAACGTCAGGCGGCGAATGCGATGTGGCAGTGCTTCGGCATCTTCTGGGGGCTCCTTGCCGCAAGAACTTTGGGTTAGGTGGACTGCCGTTATCGAGTATCTTTTCATGTTCACATAGAATCGCTGACACGCTTGTTTGCGGAACGGAGTGCCTTGGATCCACCAGTGAGAAAAGCAAAGAGCCGGCAGTCGGCTTAACATCAAGTAGGAACTGTTCTAGGCATCTATGATACAGCGATGGCCAGGTGTTCCCAGTTGATGAACTCGGCCTACAACAAGCTGTCACAGGCATGCGTGACCGTTCGGTGATGTTCGGTGTATGCGCTGACGCGAGGCTAGGACCTAGGAATAGCACTGTAGGGAGCGAGAGCTCACGCACTGTACTTGCAGTTTCACAGATCTGAGCTTGTGGACGGCCGACACTTGTTGCCTGTTTGGCTTTGGGCGGTTTGCTTCTGTGCCAGGCTTACTATGCAAGCTTCAAAATGCCCCGCTCTCAGCCGTTCGCAACAGGTTTGCAGTCCGCTCAGTCTGCTCATGTCGCTGTCGCATTTGGTCGCGATTTTTCTGTCGCGCAAGAGCTTGTTTCGCAGCGCAAATCTGTGCCAAAGCAGAGCACATGACAGGCCGCAATGGGAACGTCAGCACAGTTGAAAAAAGTGGCATGTAGTCCTGTAGTATCCTGGACAGCCGGAAGCTCCAGTCTGCATGAAAGCGGCCACGGCCAACGCAGATGGAATTTCAGTGAGGAGCTACAAAAACACTGTATGGGGCATGTGCAAGGTCCAGCAAATGCAGCATCGACAAGGATGCCACTTGCGACGAGGACTTCTATGCCTTCAAGGTGCTCGGAAAGGAATCTCTGAGATCTGCTAGGCCAAAGGCAGCGCTGTAGATCGATATAGCATCAGATGCTGCAGGATGTTTAGTTTGCAATGGTCGGGGCGGCTTTGGTTCTTCCACTTGGGTGAGATCATCGTAGTGTGGTGTCGTGATCGGATAATGACTCCATGCTTGAACGCCTTTTGGTCACGAATCTGTCTCGCTTGACGTGGTGACGTGGTGTGCAGAGCTTGTGAGGCATTGGGATCTCTCAGCGCAGCAAAAGGCTTGGGCCGAGGGTGCAAGAAATCACCGCTTCGCACGTGGTGCGGTAGACGGCTGTAGATGGCAGTAGTATGAGAAATTAGCGATATTTGCAGTCGAACTCCTCGTCGTGTCTATGACCAGCGAACTCATCTCCGTCACTTCAGCATGCTCGTCCTCCGACTCGTCACCATGGCCCTACATCCCATCCATAAACGCCCCAAGCTTTCGTAGCGTGTCGTCCGGGTGTTACCCTCTCTGGCGCTTACGCGGCCTGTGTTCGGGGTAGAATATACTTCATTATGATAGCGGCTGCATGCGGCTACTAAAAGGGGTTCGATCGGGCTTATGGCTTGCAAGTCACTAGCAAAGTGGTTATCAAATTTGATATGCGGCTTGAGGGCTTTCATGCCACCGGTTTCGCCCCCGAACTCTGTCAAGTTGAATCTCTGTTATCCTTCTTGCCACATCAGGTTTGCTGCAGTCTGCTCAGCAGGAGTGTGACATCAAAGGAGGCGCGCCCAGGAAACCTTTTAACAGTCACGTTGGTATGGGAAACCGCAGGAAGGATGCATTTCGTTTGCAGTGTAATCGTTTCCAGCAAGAAAAAAGGAATCGAATCGGTGCGTTTCGTTTCGATTCGATCCGTTTCGTATTCGGACCGCTGGGGGACGCGGGGGAGTCCAGGCTTTTGCGCTATTCGGCCTTAATTCGGCCGGAATCCTGGACTTCCCCGCGCGGCCGGCCGGTCGGACACGACGCGAGGGAGTCCAGTTAATTCGGTGTCGCGCTTTTCGGCCAGAATGGCCGCCGCGCGTGCACAATTCGGTAGCTTGGGGGGTCGAAAAGCGTACTCCCGCGCATGTTGGTGGGGAAGGGCCAAGAGCCACACAGAGGATTAGTTGACAGGGTACTCTCCCGAATGCCCTTTCCTGTTGCGCCCTATTTTTGCCTGCCCCTTTTAATAGGGTTTAGGTTTCTTTGAGGAGGTTTTGGGTCTTTAAGGGTTTAAGGGTTCATGGTATCAGGGTTTCGGGCCTAGTTGGGGGTTTTAGGGTCTTTTCAACGGGGTTTCGGTTGTTTTGAACGGGGTTTGGGATCCTTGTTGAGTGGTAGAAATGGCGTAGCAGTGGTAGCGGTCGCAGCAGGAGGAGCAGCAGGAGGAGGAGGAGGAGCAGTAGTACTTGTAGTAGGAGTAGGAGTAGGAGTAGTAGTAGTAGTAGTAGCAGCAGCAGCAGCAGCATATCAGCATGTAGCAGCATGTAGCATGTAGCAGAGCTGCTGACGCTTCGTTCGTTTCGATTTGGCCGGCGTTGCGTTTCGTGTCGGTTCGTTTCCTCGCTGCCGCCGTTGCGTTTCGTTGCGTTTCGATTCGGTAATTCGTGCGTTTCCTTTCGTTTCGTTGCCATGCGTTTCGATTCCCGTTTCCCGTTTCGTTCTCGACTTTCCTGAAACCGTCAGTTTTTTTCGGAGGCACCCTGGAGCATCCGCTCAATCCCTGGGCCGCTACGCCTTTCATGCCCCGGAAGGAGAGCTTCAGAAGTTGCCTGCTACATCTGACAAAACAGATTTCTTGGGCAGCGCCAGGACCCCAAATCGGCTGAATGACTGCAGCGGCTGAAGAAGACCCACGAGCGTCATTGAGGGGTTCCATGGAAGTTCACGCAAAAACGGCAGGTGTGGTGCAAAGCCAATCAATGCCCGCCGCCATTCAGATGTTCTCTACGAGAGAATCCGAGAGAATCGTTGTCAGTCGACTGCGGTCACATTATATCTTTTGTCCAACTTGCTGGCTGTACGCGGCTACCCCCGCCGTGGGGACCTGATGATGATTGAAGGTTTGTAGGGAACAGAAGCAGAGCCTTGGCGAGGCACTGAGTTCATGTCACGTCACGTTTACGTTTCACGCCAAGTTACGAAGCCGAAAGCAGTCATCAAAATGCATCAGCTGCTTGTAGATCCTGTGGAACCTCTGGTCTTCAGTGCACTGCAGTGTCGGGAAATTCAGGAATTTAGTCATGTGTTTTTACATAATGATTCTGCCGATGGGAAACACGAGTCGAACGGTAGAAGATTGCGCATCCTGCAAAGCTGCAATCCTTGTGTAGACACTCTTGCAGGCATTTCTCGCGACTTCTCTTCATCGGAGTACCTGATAGCGTGACGGCTATTGCACCAGGCAGACTGCTGCGCATAGACACGACTGACAGCACATGCGCATACGGGTTGCAGACGACTGTTGGGAATTGAAGCTCGAGGCGGCTGTGCAAGTCAGAATGCAACCTGCCTGTCCGAGGTGCGGGGCATGACATGACACTGGGCAGTCGGCTTGCTGGTGCCTGGATGAGCATTAAGTCATCGCGAGCCATCGCCATCATCAGCCGCCTCCAATAGCAAAGCTTGCAGAAATGCGTTGTCGGACTGAGGCGCCGACGACTTCAAGGATGCTGGACCTGTCCGAAACACAGGAGCCACGGTGCAGCAGCTGACCAGATGAGCCGTACATAGCGAGCGCTCGGAAATGCGCGCAGCGTGAAGTGGAAAGCCGACCACTTAACGATGGTGGTCCAGGTGGACTTGGAGTGCCAGGGCACGACAACCAGCATTTGTCGTCGTCGAAAAGTTGGTTGTGCTGCTGGCCTCCCTCCCAAGCGTGTCTGGTCATGGTGCCTCAATGATTCCTTCTGCTTGACTGTGACTTCAACCGTCTTGCCAGGTCAGCAAGTACAGTGATGTTCCTGGACGTAGCTTGTCAGGGTCCACTTCCAGCTGTGCCGCTGCCATTTATTGTGAACGAAGACCACACACCGAAGCAAGTCAATGTCGAAGAAAACATGTGCAGCGACAAACCAGCTGCAATGCTCCAGCAGAGACAGACTCTAGCTTTAACAAGCATGCAGTCGTGCAAGTAGCAGACTTTAGCGGACTCTGGCGACTTGTTGCACAACTTTGTGCCCGTCGACGAGATGCGGAGTCGGGGCCATGTGCCGGAACCCACTGAGATGAGTCCAGGCAGGTTACTGTAAGATCTATTTGTCGAGCAACTGCCTGCGAATGTTCTGGAGCCTTTTATAGCAGCGTAGAGAGAGGCTGGAGTCGGCAGGTTTTGTGACAGTGATGTCGGATCAAAGCCCGTGTGTGTCGATGCGTTGGCTCGTCTGGCTTGAGAGTTGGTCCTCGGTCGGCGATTTTGCTGTGCCCTTTCTCTGAGAGCGTCGTGAGAGAAGCAGCTGCTGCTGCGGGACTCTACAAGCCATTCGCAGATTCATTAGCTGACAGTCCTGTGGGTGCGTTCCATCTTCTGACTGCTTGTGCACCTTTGTCACCTTTGTTGCTCCTCTTGCATCACCTCTTCGAGGCTGCTTCTCAGCCGAGGAATCGTCACAAAGCCAGTCTGGCAAAGCTGGAACGGATTTGTCAATCTCATGAGGCTTTTCAATTGGCATCCTCTTCTTTGTATATAGTTGTTATGGCCCTCAAGGCAGTTCCAAAGTTTCTGTGTTCCGAGCCCAGTAATGAGCTGTCCCGACATGACAGACTCGCATCCTCCTGGCATTGCTTGCACCGTCGCGACTTTGCGTGATTTCACTGCCCCAACAATTCCCACATGGCCCTGCGCATAACCTCTGCTTTTGTCTTGCCTTGCTCGAGCACGGCCTTTGCAGGTCTTCACGCCATTGATGTCTTTTGCTTTGGATCATGCTAAGCTCCCGTATGTCCCAATCTGATGCTACAGCCTGCTAACTTGTAAACCAGAATGTATATAAGGCATGCCGAATGCAGGACGGGAGCATGCGCACCCCGATGCGCGCAGGCACACCCAAACCCACACCGAGTAAGTAGATGGGGCGATTGCTGTTCAAGACAGTATGCCCTGAGTCGCTCCTCCGCACAGTAGTGAGTAGTAAAGATGCCAACAGAAGTAGTTACAAAAGAAGTTCGCGCCCGGCTGCCTTTCAGGCTGATGGAGACAGAGCCTAACCTCGAATAGCGAACTGCAAGCGCGCCACAGCACCGAAAGGAGCACAGTTGCGCACAAGCCCGATCGCGCTCACAAGACAGAACATGTGTACCGAGCTCGACACTGTAACACCGCGATTCTTCGATGTGGCTCAGCACAGGCATCGAATGGTTCACTGCTCGTTGATGGTTTTGTTGACGGTTGCACGTACCTTTCGACTGCCCTTTGCTGTTCTCGAGCTCTGGTTCTGCATGGCTCTGCTACGCGCAGACTTTCGTTATGCAGGCTTCCCCGTCCCAGGTTTCCTTTCTCTGCTTCCGAGCCTGGGCCGGGCGGCCCAGCCGAGCCATGGCTTTGCCGCTTTGACTGAACCCGAACAGGCAATGTCACTTGTCGGGGCGCTCGTGAAGAAGTTCCTGGCGCTGGAAAAGTGCTTTGCATGCAACGGGAGGGGGGGATCATGAAGAAGGGCTGCTGAGAAGACACGCGATTGAACCGCCTTTTATGATCGACCGCGACGCCATGGAGAACTGCAAGTCTGGCTGCAGTGGACTTGCAAGAGCTGCAGTTTTCAAGCGCAGCAATTCGAGACTGCTGCAGCTATAGGTACTTTGTGAAAGACAAGGGGATCGTGACACCGCATGCCGGCAAACGCTCGCTCCATGAGTCCCGGCTGCAGAGATCTTGATTGTGCCTTGGTGAGTGTGTCCGTGTGTGCGTGTGCGTGTTGCCCAGCTGATTCTTGAATCAAGTCCCGATCCAGGAATGTGTGTTGTAACGGATGGACTCTGCAAATGCAGGTCATAGCACTCACGATTAAGCACAGCCGACATGTCACGAACTGAGCAGATGCAGCACAGACTCCCACCTTGATGCCCAGGTTGAACAAGGCGTCTTGAATCCCGAGCTGCTTGCAGGGTTGCCGCTCAAGCTCGTGGACAGTTGTGTCAATTTCGATGCTTCTGCACCTGAGGCAGCAAGTAGTTGAGTCGTGAATGACGCAGATCTGCTGAGAGCATAGAGTTTCCGGCTGGCAAGGGTGCTTCCTGGATATCCCGAGTTTACAATGTTGCACGTGGCGTTTTGATGGCTCATTGAGGTGAGTTTCAAAGAGGATCAGCCGAACAGAGTCCAAAGCCACGATGGCATCTCGCTAGTGATCGAAGTTTTGTCATCCCCCTACAACGAGGAGGCGGGACATGTTGTCAAGCTGAAGGTGTCAGAAACTAGAACATGGCTATGAGATTTGTCTTGGGCATTGAGTTAGGCCAGGAAGTCATTCAGCTTCTGCACTTCGGGCTGTGTCACCTTTTCAAACCCAACCTGAGCCAGGGGAGGGAGGAAGCTCTGCTGCGCCTGCGGCGTCGGAAGGCACGACTGCTTTCCATGTGCTGCTACTACATGCTATAATACGCTTTCCGACTCCCACTCCCACAGTCAGTGCGAGGAGCAGGATGAGGAGGAGTACTCCTAGTTACTGGTACAGCAGTACTAATGGTTCTATTAGTTCCAATCCTAGCAATGTTAAGGTAAATCGCTACAAGTAAGTTGCGTGGGAGGTGTCAGAGAAAGGCAGAGAGAGAGAGAGACGTTTACAGCCGAGTCCTGCTCTCAATATGAGGGTTTGGTAGTGCTCCGCGGGCCAGGAGGACTGCTCCCAGCTCCAAACCCCGAGCAAAGCGAAGAGAAACGTCGCTGGGCCGGCCAGCCCGGCAGAAAGAAAGAGAGAGCGAGAGAAAGCCAGAGTGAGCGAGACAACAGGGGCGTGGGGGTTCATGCATGGACATCGACCTAGGTGGTCAGGAGGGAGTCACAGCAAGGGCAACAGTGCTTCGACAAGGCACCGCTTCTGCACTACATACAAGGCCTCCATGCATGGTGGATGGAGGATTTGGCAAGGGAGGAGGGGGAAGCACTTATAGTTCTTGCGCAACTCTGAGAGAGAGAGAGAGAGAGAGAGAGAGAGAGAGAGAGAGCAAACGGGCACGACGGAGGAACAAATCCGTGCCGTGCTTAGGGACATCCGGGGGGTGCTCCCTTTCCATACAGGAGGACAAGCCGAAGTGCGAGCCATGCTGGCCTACGTGGGGGCGACCTTCGAGCAAATCGTTTGTGTGGACACGCAATCGACCGATGCGGCCGGGGAACAGCCCGGAGTCGAACAACCTCCAACAGGTGCGACGGAACCCTGGCAGCCACCCCTAGGCACGGCGCAGTGGTCTGGCAGTCTACACTCCGCCCGATGAGCTGGAGGGGGAACCCACGGACATCGAGCTCCTGGCAGCCATGGATGAGGCGGAAAGACAAGCAGAAGAGGAAGCCAGAGAAGAAGCCCAGAACGTGGGCCATGGGGGGACGTTGCTGGACACCAACGCCGAGTCGGAGCCAGACGTTCCAGAACCGCGCCTGAGTCGAGGATCTAGCCACCGTAGGAGGAGAATGCACGCAGCAGTGTATGATGATGATGGCAACTTTTGGCATCCAGGTGACATGTGAGAGTGAAGCCCTGTTTCAAAGCTCTGAGCGTTTTGTACCAAGCAGTTGTGGATGAGATTGCCTGCTAAAGGTAGCCGGAACAGTAGGTAGAAACACAGTCCCCGGAACGGAGCATGACAGTACATGTAATGCAGTGTTCCAGCCGTGGCCTCAGCAGAGAGTTGTGTGCTGTGCGTTGTGACGGTGTTTCAGTGCCTGGGGGACAAGCTCATAGCGAGCCAGCCTGCGACGGGGGCAAAAGTGCCTGCCGGAGCTTTTGGGCAGAGAAACGGCGCGAGCCGGAACCCTGGCAGTAGACGAGGCACTGGCAGGGGGTTCTGATTGTTCAGGTTAAGGGTGGGGGGATATTTACGGTGCAAGCCGGTGCCTCGCTCTTGCAGGGGAGAGTCTCACAACCACAAACCTGAGACCAGTGCGCGCCTGCGCGCGGAGGGGGGTGTCCGCCCTTCTCTTGGCTGAGTGCAAGCAAGAGAGAGAGAGAGAGAGAGAGAGAGAGAGAGAGAGAGAGAGAGCGAGCCCGTGAACATGCCAACCCCAGAGCCAGACCAAATGCACAATTTGATTATCGTCGTGGACCAGAGCGGTAGCGAGTGATGCTGCACTGGAGTGCGATCGCTTGCAAATGGCTGGCGCGGTCATGAGCAGCCCTTCGGGGCGACTGGAAATTAGGGACCATAATGCAAACCACCATCATGGTGGGCTAACTAGTACACTTGGCTTACTTAGCTTGCATCCCGAGCCTCAGCTTACCGAGGCGTAGCAAACGTGGCTGACCGATAGAACAAACTCCCAGCCTTTAGCAAAAACTCTACAATACGCACTGTAGCACGTTCCTGTTGCCGACTGCTGCACCATGCACGTTCTCATTCCAAGGACCCCCAGCTGGGAGTATCTTATTGAACTAGCTGGCGCTTCTGAACATGTTTTTGCATCGAACCTGCCTCCCTTTCTGCGAGAGCCAGCTGCTAGACTAAGTCAGGGCCTTGGGCGAGGAAGGCTCGCTGGGTCAAGACAGGAAGGTTTAAAGTAAAGGCGGAAGGTCATGTCGGAGCTTGCCCGACAGGAGGAGCAAGTTGCAGCCAGAGTGGCTGCAGAGGTGGCCAAGGGTTTCAGCATAGTTTGCTGCAATACTGCGAACATTGGAATAGTCATGCCGCTTGTAGCCTTAATTTCAGGTGAGCTGTTGCCCTGCTTGTGCTTAGCAGAACTTCTCGGCGCCCATGGTGTTTGTGGATGTCGGAGACGGGAATGATTCAGCCAAGTGCAGGACAGTGATTTGAACAGCAGAGTTCTCCTGCAAACATGGCTGGCTGAGCTTTGACATGATCCATGGGTATGACAGGCGTTTCAGCAGCTGTCGTTGATATGGCAATAAATATTCACTCTAACGAAGAGCTATTGCAGCATCCTTGGAGTCCAACACCATGGTTCAATGGGCTAGCTAGACTGATTCTGTTGCAGTCATTCCATCAAGTTCGCGACGTTGAGTCCACTGTTGTAGGTGATGTAGATCTGTTGTTTGCGAGCCGATGGAGCCAAGACGCCGCATTTGCTGTGTGATTTCAGTGCGAAACAGCAGCCAGCCTCTGGTGTGACCGGCGCGGCATATTCGAGATATGATTGTGTTTCAGACAGGCGGTTTCCTACGATAGACTTTGGCTGCAGGAGAAATTACGATGGCTGAATGTATGCTGAATGTCATTGGTTTTCGGTGATTGCGGTAGAGTTGTAGGATTTGCAACAGAGGATGTATGCGAAATGGTTCTCCATGGTGGTGTCTTAGACTATCAGAATACTATCAGAGTGTCGGAGTAGAGACGATGCACGAGCGACCATAGCGACCCCGCTGGATCCCAGGTACGCGCCGGATCATGGCCTCTGCAGGGCAGCACGTGTTGGCCTTGAAGGTGGCGTGCTCCCAACAGCGTAGCCTCAAATCATCCTTGCATCTCTTGTCCGGCGGCTTGGAAAGCGGATAAAGCGGGTGAGCAATGACGCAAGGCAAATGCAAAGAGGCGGTCAGACCGCCTACTGCGATTTTGCAGAAAACCAGCGAGCAAAGACCACAAACTTCATATTCGAGGTGGACTGGTGGGTGTTAGGGCAGCCAAAAACTGAGAGTGGGCTTGAGTCAGCTGGAGTCGAACACGAAAGGCTTCTTCAACGGATGAAGGTTGGGTCGCATCAAGACCAAGAGCCGCATCTCACCTGAATCCTGCTTAGACTGACACACTAAACTGCCTACAAAGCTGCGGACAAACGTTTTCCAGACTCGCCTTGGCACCGGCTGACCGACTGTTCTTGGTGTGGGAGTTTTTGGTTATGAGCCGCTGAAATAATTTCGACATCATCCAGCATTAGCAGCCGGCTTGAGGTGTGCTTGGCATGCCGCAGCTCCGTGGGCGAAGATTCGTCGTGGGCGAGGCTCCACTAGCCTAGTTCGTTTAAACACTTGGCCAGTGTTGAGAGATAGTTTGCCGGATATTTGCGTTTGTGTTTTTCCTCCAGACTTAGGTTTGGAGCGAGGTCCGATCATTATTCGTTGTCTTTTATTTTGTTTAGTATTTCGGGGTGTGCATGGAGTTAGCGATAGGTTTTTTCTCGACTCCCATGGACTTTGCAGGGCTTGGGGCTGCAATGTTATAGCCAGGTAGATAGACGGATAGATGGTTAGATCGATAGATAGGCAGGTAAATCTATAGATAGATGGATAAATGGATATGTAATGACTCAGCTAGAAAGGTAGATCGGTGGATCGATGGATCGATTAATAGCTAGCTAGATAGATCGACAGCCCTCGAATGCATAGAGACTGTTCCCCCCATGAACTGGCAGGGTTTGGAGGCGGCCAAAATGTTTCCCTCCATGTACTGGCACGATTCAACATTTTCCATGCCAAAATGAGGCCAATGTTCTATGAATTGCGCTTTCGGATGACAGGGGAGCGGATCGGGCGCAAATAACGGCACAAGGTGCACCTCACCACAGTGCAAGGATCGTGGTGGCTGTGCTTGTGGTTTTGGTGGTCTTCGTCGTCGTGGTCGTCATGGCCGTCGTGGGGCTGTATCACAGTTTGAGGATCTGCGCTGGCATAAATGTGTTACCAGGTAAGAGGTTTGGGATGTGCAGAGCTTCGGACAGGGGACGTGGGGCTTGTGGTGAGGTCGTGAATTTCAGAGGCTAGAAAGGAATTGATGCGCGGCAGAGATAAATTTCGGTTGATTTCGGTTGGGGACCACACTTAATCTTCTTGGCAAGTCTTCTGTGATTTCCTCGAGGACGTCCCTGCTGCTGCTGCTGGGTTCTGTCTTTGCCGAAATGCTTTCTGAGCTAGCCTGGACTCGGAGTCAGAGTCTGGCCGAGACCTTGTGTGATTGGTCAAAACATGCGGGGATGCTTCCGAACCACTAACCCTACCATAGTGGGTGGGCACACCAGACGCCATCAAGCCTGCTTGGGACTGACCTCGCCCCCAAACCTGAACCTAGCCTTCTCGCCTGAACCCACACCCGCACGCATGCTCTTACTCAAACTTCTCTTTCATTCGGAACTTGAGCCACCATCCGCAGTGGCATAACCTTGGTACACTTCTCGATTTGTGCGCCATCTTGGCACACTTCTCGGTTTGTGCACCTCGGACAGGGGCCGTGCAGCTTGGTACACTTCTCGGTTTGTTGATGCACTCACACTCCTCCTCGAACATTCCAGCTTTGATGGTATGTTCGCCTCCGGAGTGCTGAACACAAACATGCATAGGCTGTACTAAGCTGTGGCTTTTCCACGCCTCATTTCAATCTCCTACTCGCCCTCTGGTCAAGCCAATCTTTTCGGCATGCTGCTCCAGCTTAGCTCGATTTAGCGATTTTGTCAGCATGTCTGACACCAGCTTTTTTCCCGGTACATGTTGCAGGTTGACAGCGTGATGCTCATGCTGATCGTGTGTCCATGCAGCTCTTATTGCATAATGCCGCGTTCGCCAGCCTTGCACCGTAAACCTCGCTCTAGTCAGGAGGCACACTGCCGATGAATTGTCATTCGCCATGCGCATCTCGATGGGACGGTTCGTGAGCTCTCTCAACAGCGCCACGGTGTTTGTCAGGAACCCTGTGCATGTTGCCATCGCGTCGCACTCAGCCTCGCACGTGCTGTACGCGGTGAGGCTCTTCCGACAGCTTTTCCAGCCAATGGCATTGCCACCAAACAAGATGACCGATCCGGATCTGGATCTGCAACCTCCCGGACTAAATGATGCGTCAGAGCTTCCTAACAACGTGGTATCAGCGTCGTGTTTGTAGTTGAGTGTCATTCCCGCGGTTCCCCGCAGATACCGCCACAAGGCTTTTGTGACCTTCAAAGCAATGCTTGGATGAAGCGACGCAAGCGATGAGCAGTGACCTACCGCAGCTTGGATGTCAGGTCTTGTTTTCAATGCGATCCATTGCAGACCAGCTTAAGCTCACGTTGATACTGATCGGTACGCTCGCGCGGCAAAATCTTGCCTTCAGGGATGTCCGGGAGGCACTGTGCGCCTGCCAGATGAGTCAAACCTCGCCTGTCCAGCTCTTGCTTGCACTAGCCACTTCCTCTGACTGGTTGCCACCTGGTCTGCTTGGAATGTCACTTGTACTCCGATGAACGTGATTTCCTCGATCATTGGGATGGTTAACGAGCCTCTAATTGCAGGTGACCTGTCCTTCAGTCGCAACAAGATGCCCTGGAACTTGGTTTTCCAGCATTTGTCAACATGCTCTGCATACCTCAATAGAGCCTCTCTTTCACCAGCACAGAAACCATCGTCACCGAACATGGCACATATTGCACGAATGATTCTTGACTCCACCTCTCGGACCGTGTAGAGTCCCTGACAACTGGTTTCAACGATTTATAAATCTGGGAGTTCGTCGCCTGCCGCCGGAGGGAGCTCCACCTTGGCTTGTTTATCCTGCCATTGCTCCTGCCAGTCTACTACTGGGCCTCGCCGGAGTCCGTAGACTGAACGATGTGCAGCAAGTAATGTGCCTTGCTTGAAGAATCCTAGCTTGACTAGTGAATTAGGAGGGTGCAGAAGAACCCGTTCTTCGACGGGAAGTTTTGAATTCAGAAATGCGCATGACACATCATAGGCCAGGGCTTCCCACGAACTGTGATAAGCGAGCTCATTGAACAACATGCGCACTCCTTCTGCAGAAATGTTTTCGGAGCTCAGCTCGGCGGAATCTGTGCAATCGTTGCGCTGGAAGTTGCCACAGGCAACAAGCCTACACCTAGGTTTGCAGGCGCAATTCTTGACTAGCTCAGATGCCGTCTTAGCTCCATTTTTTCTTGCCGAGGAAATGAGGTCTTCAGGCATGATAACCGGCTTCTTAGTCAGAACCTATTTCATCGGTATTGGTTTTGGGGACCGGTTTCTTAACATCATCACCCCAGCCTAAGGCTTTCCTCAACTCAGCATCCGTACTATTCTCATTTACCTCAACCCAGACCTCGAATGACAGCATGTTAGAGATCTCCGCCTCAGCGGCCTGACAGAACTCCCGCTGTGCCAGCTTCGTTCCCTGCCAAAAGATGTTTTGGGTCTCCTGGGCTAGGAGCTGTGTAGTCCTCTCAACCTCATCCATATCCGCCTCTATGTCCGAGCTGTAGACGTAGTACTTGTCATCCGGATCCGCATTGATCTGTAATGTCTCTTCGTTCTTGCCCTCAATGCGCTTGCAAGTTGGAGCTGACACCAAGAAGCCATGGTTAAACCGAGATAGGCTAGCTTCGTATCCCTCTTCATCCTCGGCTTTTCTGTGAAGCGTCTGCTTTATGGCCATTTCCAAGTTGCTGTTCCGATCATCATCGTTACTGGGGACCGTCGGTCCGTTCCTCAAAGGTCATCAGATCACCAGGCGCCGGCTCTGTCCAGCGCATTTCACCCTTTTCTGACACCCACAAAAAATGCCTCATCCGGGCTGGTTCGTTTTGTCCAAGTGGGACGGTCCACATTGAGCAAAACCGGCAGTCTAAACTTTACCACCTTCAACCCCCTGGGAGTATCAATCAACACGGAACACGTTTGCCCCAACACTGTAGCTCTCGTCTACCCCCAGATAC